TTGCCATCAGGGGTGTACATGTAGATTTATTAAATACACCTTGTGCGCCACCTAGGAACCAAATCTAGAACCCGACACTCGAAATTTTTGCTCTGTTACAATCGTACCCTGTTACAATTGATCTCACTCCCCCCTACTAATAATCAAATTGCAAGTGAACGAATAACGATTCCATCAAAACATTTTGATGGTTTATGCTGGTTTCAGTGCGGTTTATGCTGGTTTCAGTGCGGTTTATGCTGGTTTCAGTGCGGTTTATGCTGGTTTCAGTGCGGTTAATGCTGGTTTCAGTGCGGTTAATGCTGGTTTCAGTGCGGTTTATGCTGGTTTCAGTGTGGTTTATGCTTGTTTCAGTGAGATTCATGACGATCCAACATCATTTAATGGTCACCAACATCCAAAATTTTCCATTATGCGTTCATGGTTTTTGATATGTCAACAAACTTTCATCATTCTATGATGGAAAATCCTACTGTAATACTATGATGGTTAACAATCAAGAGAAGTTTGATTTTCATGGACCAACTATCCAGGATGATCCGTGATAGTTCCAACAATACATCTCCATGATCTATCAAAACGATTTTTTTTTTAATGTTGGCACATCAAAAATCAGTCCGAATTCCTACTTTTGGGTGGAGGGGGATTTATTTATGTTTGTTGCCATCAAAAATATAATGGTTCATGATGGATTTATAGAGGATTACCATCAAGATGCTTGTTTATCAATGAAAAACCATAAAAAATTTTGGCTTGGTTTTAACGCGGACATTTCTGCTGCATCACCTATGCAAACTTAAAATTTTTTTTTATTTAAATCTGAATAATAACGTCGAAAACAGTGAAAAATTAAAAATGATGTTAATAAAAGGAAAAAAACAATTGAAAATAACTAAATTATAGATATGAGAGATGTTTGTTTATCAATGAAAAACCATAAAAAATTTTGGCTTGGTTTTAACGCGGACATTTCTGCTGCATCATTTATGCAAACTTAAAAAAAAATTAATTTAAATCTGAATAATAACGTCGAAAACAGTGAAAAATTAAAAATAATGTCAATAAAAGGAAAAAACAATTGAAAATAACTAAATTATAGATATAAGAGATGTTTGTTTATCAATGAAAAACCATAAAAAATTTTGACTTGGTTTTAACGCGGACATTTCTGCTGCATCACCTATGCAAACTTTAAAAAAAATTAATTTAAATCTGAATAATAACGTCGAAAACAGTAAAAAATTAAAAATAATGTTAATAAAAGGAAAAAAAAACAATTGAAAATAACTAAATTATACATATGAGAGAAAAGTAAGATACACATAATTAAATACAATGGAAAATTAATTTTGTGGCATTTTAGACATAAATGATAGTATTTGTTTTCTTTTATTTAGAAGTTTTCTTTTATCAGGTTGTGCAACCAAATTTATGCTAAAAAACATCGCTAGAAGTACAGAAAAGTCTCCCAATAGTTTCCTTTTCCAGAAAATAGTTGCTTGTTTAGTCTTTTCAGGAAAAAAAAAGTTGCTGCAGTTGCTTCAGGCCGAAAATGGTTGCAATAATCGCAAAAAGAGGCAAAGTAAGGCATACTTTATTTGAATACTTTGTTTCAATAACGGATTTTGAGTCTCTAAAGATGCGGAAGAGCTACTATCTGGCGAGTCAAAAAAACAGTCGAAAACTAATTATACTTTTTGCGTATTTCACCATTTCTCTATTTAAATTTATCAGGAACTTTCTGAACCTGATTCTTTTAAACAAAACTAATACCTCACAAAACGTTATTTGTTTAAAGTTTGTTTATTGCTTTTAAATATTTAGTCAGCCCACGACTCTGTGAATTGTATGGTGAACCTTTTTTACGCATGTTTTTAAACTACGTATGTTATTTTAAATAAGTAAAAAAAAAAGCAAATTTTTGACTGAATCGATCAAATAGCTCTAGAGAAATGAGCATGTAAACATTTTACTTCTTTTTAAGTTTTAATACTCAGAAACTATTCGAAAGATTTCATTTTTTTATTACTATTTTATCATTTAAAATGACAAAACTTAAAATAAGGTAAAATTTATGCATCTCAAAGTTCGAAATTGTTTGAACTATAATTTTATCAAATCATAATAATAAAAAAGAAACATTCCAAAATTCTAATCTTTGCTTCAAATTGTTTTCAGCTTTACAATCGCGTGCAAAATTGTATAGTTTCTTACTCAGTTCCAGATATATAGCGAAATACCCAAAATAAACGTGAAGAGGATTTCGGTAATTACCATATTTTGATTTACTCCCATATTCGAAGTCTATCTCCCATATTTTTGAAGGTCGAAAATGCATATTTATTTTGAGAAAATTGTTGATGGTCCCATCAAAAAATTCTGCTGGTTTCAGTCACGATGGTCAAACATCATTTGATGATCCAACCATCTAACATTTTCCCGTACGTGTTCATGGTTTTTGATATGCCAATAAACTTTCATCATTCCATGATGGAAAATGCTTCTTTAATGCTTTCAGATGGTTAACCATCCAGAGAAGTTTGATTCTCATGGACCTACAATTCATTATGATCCACTATGGTTTCCTGATACTACTTACAACTATAGGGGAGAGTGGGGTCAATTGTAACATTTTTTACTTAACTATTTTTAACTAACAAAAAATCCAATATATTATTAGTATTAATTGACAGACGAGTAAAGTAGACTATCCTCTACTAGAAAAAAAAATAAATACCTTATTTTAAATGTTATTATATTAGTTATTAACAATTTTTGACAGTCGTGCACTTGTTACAATTGTCCCCACTTACGGGGTCAATTGTAACAGTTCATAAATTCAACTAAAACATAGTTAATTATACATATTATCATAGTTGTGATATATTTTTTTATTGATCAAAATAGTAGTGATATTTTAGGAGTAAAAATAATAATGAGCAGAGACCTAAAGGGTTAAACTTTTAACTTTAAGGGGTTAAAAATTTTAATTTATGCTGTGAAAGGTGACAAATAAAATAATGCACATGCAACATAATATAAATGATATAGGAAACTATTGGTGGTTCTTAAAGAGTTAAGTAATGGTTTGTAAACATAAGATTATTTATTTTCAGCTGTTACAATCGTCCCTTTACTTATTGTTACAATTGTCCCCAAGACGCCATTTCAGCTTCATTTGTTAAAAACAATGCTAGTTAATTAGCAAAACTAATCTTTTTTTTATTGAAATGTTAATTAAGGTGTCCACTTACATATTCGGTTACTAATTTTTATTTGTTTAAACAAAATTACTTTGTTACAATATAATATTCTAATACCAAAAAAAGTACTTGCGTGGCGTGAAAATATCTTTTGTGATCTAACTCTTTCAAAAGTACATAAAAATGGTTGCCATCAGGGGTGTACATGTAGATTTATTAAATACACCTTGTGCGCCACCTAGGAACCAAATCTAGAACCCGACACTCGAAATTTTTGCTCTGTTATAATCGTACCCTGTTACAATTGACCCCACTCTCCCCTACATTTCCAGTATACAAACTATACAAACCATCATGATGGTTTAATGGGAAATTTCTAATAATTTAATCCCTGTCATTAAGTGTTTTTGAAATCATTTATTGGACTTTATTTACTTTGTCAATAAAGGTGGACGATCATTCTGTACTAATATAAAATAACTATTTAAAGACTTACTCCACCAGGTGGAGGTCTCCATCCACATCCGGGTAGCGGTAGACCATCGGGTCCCAGTGGACAAGGGGCATCCAGTCCTGGAACACCCTAAGAATTACAACTATCTTAGTACGTCATACAAAGCACCCATGAGTTTCTTGAAAATGCACAGCACATGTTCCATAACTATCTAACGAATCACTTATGTGGGATTCAAAACTGGTTTGATTACCGGATGAAACTGATAAGAGACAATTTCATCAGGCAATCGAAAAAGCATTTAAAAGATTCGCACATATTTTGATAGTTTGTATTTTCTTCTAAATTACAATTTGTGACCCCTTACAATAAAAAAAACAACTTATTGAGGACAATGTATAAAAAGTCAATGACAGCTGGTAAACAATGTGTCTAAATTTTCATTGTTGTGTTTAAACTATTGTACCTGGAATAAAGCAATTTCGAATATCCTAAAACACTGCCCCAATGTACTGAATGCGACGCGTAATATAAGACAGTATTTTCAAACGATTTTATGTGTAATGTGAAGAAAATATTTCTCTTGTTCTACGAAACATTTTTATAAAAATGTCTTTGTTATCACTAATTACAGTTTATGAGGGCGGTATGCTTTAATATTTCTAAAATAGATTTGCTGGAACGAAATTAAAGAATATGTGAAGAAAAATGTGTCGTCTGTTAATAAATAAAAGCGCATACATTGAAACTTACTCAGTTTAAATTATCGTCAGAAGGCCTATTTGTTAACATATCCAATTATCTTCTATAATTTTTGGTTATAACTGACTTCAACTTAACCGAAAACTTATCACTTTTTCGTCGCATTCCTACAATATTTTTCTTGGTGATTAAAATTTTAAATTGTCAACATTAATTTAACTGTAAATTTAACTGCAATGCAAAGCAAAGTTCCAAAAATCGGTCGCTTATTTATTGCTGTTAACGTGACACGTGTATTGTTGCGTCTTTACAAGTTAATAAATCTTAAAGAAAGATGTTAATTTATGACAGAAACGAATGTATTTAAACACTTTCCTTTGAATGCTTCCAATTCAATTTTTGGTCGCCTCTCCCATCATTATCGAACATATTAAATCCATGAAGATAATTTTATTCTAAAATGCACGTCATCCTCTTACTCTTAGCTTTACAAATAGGAAGCCATTCTTTACGTTTTTATAGTAACATTTTAAATGAAATATTCTGAATAACGGGTGGCTTTTTTCAAAGGTTATTTCGGAGTTCTTTTTTACAGAATTTATCACATGTTTTGTTTCTCTGTTAAACAAATTTTTGTGCTCTGTAGGAATTAATAATGTAGGAAGCATCGTTCTTAAACACTCTGAATTGCATAATAATATTAGAGATAAATGAATACTTTGGGTCTAAAGGTTGGCATAATATTTCATTTGGTTAAAGATTTCAATGCATTTTTCATGCGGAAAGCCGAGATAGCTCAGGTGGTAGATCGTTCACCTTCCAATCAAGTGAACCGGGTTCGATTCCAGCGACGGTACGAATCCCTCACTCAGTTCGCACCGACCACAGTGCTGTCGTAAAAATATCGTCAGTGGTAGACGGATCATGGATTATAGTCCCCTTGCCGTCGACCTAACCGTGGGAGATTGTCGTAGTTCACCTCTCCATATAACGCAAATGCTGGTTAGTTCCATCAAAAAGTCCTCCACGAAGAAGAATTTCTTTCAATATTTGATCAATCCCTTGTCTTCTGGATTGGGTTCAAAATGACAAGACTACGGATTTGAACATTAGTAATCGTAAAACCAAAAATTTGGGTCGGCTGTTCAACGACGGTCATAAAATAAATAAAAAAAATTATCGAAAAGAAATATAATTTTACTTATGGTTATAAAATGCAATCCATTAATATTAAGCTTCCAGGTGAAATCTTTACAGGTATGAATAATTTTCCCAGCAAACGATGACTATTTATAAAAATAATATAGGTATACCATTATACTTAAAATTAAATACAAAAGTAGGATTTTAAAAAATTCTTTGGAGAAAAAAAAAATTTGATAATTTGTATCACAGCATCATTTTGTCGATATATAAAAATTGAAAGAAAGGAAAAAAAACTTACTTGGTCACCTTTTTCTCCTTTTTCACCTCTTTTTCCTCGCTTACCTCGCAGTCCCTATAAAATAATGCAACCATTAAAACAAATTAACAAGAAACCTGTTTTTTTTTTTAAAGTATCCCATGGACAATTCGGATTACTCATAAAATAAAAGAATTCATCTTTCTAAAAATATAACTGATAGTTTAACTCTTTTTTTTTTCTCCAAGCAAAGCTATATTAAAATATTTTTGCGATTGACATTGATTTATAAAAAGAAGTTCATTTACCTAAATTAATTCGGTTTTCAAGAACTTTTTTCGGTGGCAAGGCCAAATTTCTACCTACTGTATAGAATTGCTCTGCGTATAACCGAATTTTTATGTACCGTCATTCGGGGCTACTTTGTGCAGGATTTCGCAGTTTTTGAACTTTGACATGTAAAAAAACTATGTTAATTCAAACTTTAGTAAAATTTATCGATATTATATTCATAACTGGACTCAGACGAATGAATTTGATCAATATTGGCATTATTTATATGTGATATTTACGAATAATAAGTCAAAACATACCTTGCACAAAGTAGCCCCCAAATGGGGCTACTTTGTGCAGCGATAGGAATTCAGTTTAATAATCATGTTTTCAGTAAAATATTGATATAAAATTGTTAAAAAAGTTAATTGTTGACATTTTTGAAGACAAAAACATCAAGATATGTAAAGATATTAGTTTGAATATAATTTTCAGCGTTAAAAAACCATTTTTTTTTTTGAAGAATTTTTTCTTAAAAAGAATGTTTATTTCAAAACATTTGAGTTTAAACAAAAGGAAACCATATACTTTTTTTAACATTGAAATGGATGATATTTCAAAAATAATAGTAATTACATATTCATTAACATTTATAATATTGATAAATTTGAACATAACATGCTTGAATGAACATGACAGAACTTGCTCTTCAGTTTCTGTCAAAATCACCTGATGTCCTATAAAATATATTTTTATGTGTTAAATCGTTTGATTAATTCATTAGAAAAATCTTTGTAGAAGAAAAATAATAGTTTACCAGGAAGTTTCACGTGTTTCTTGTGAATTTTATTAGAGATAGTATTTCTGTGGATTTTGTACTTCCGAGAAGCTTCTGCAATCGACATACCACCAGCAACTGCTTGCAAACATTGTTGCAGCTTTTCTAAAGTGTAATCACGGTAGTTTCTCGTTCCAGGTATTTTTTTATAACGTCTGACCATTTTTCTGTCGAAAAAAAAAACGAATGAAACTTTGCACAAAGTAGCCCCAAAGTGCATTTTTTTTCATTTTCCGTTTATTTGTTATTAATTTTCAAATTTTTTTAACGCTAACATGATATAATTGTTTATTAATATATAAATAAAAAATTTTGCACTTACGACAATTGTTTTATCAACGTCTTTGCATTTCACAGCTAAAGTTTCCACGCACACTTTTCGACATCCGACGTCCTCGGAAAGTTGTTGACATTGGATGAACGAAACACACTCTGAGATTGTTTTAAAATTCGAAAAAATGTTTGTAGTAATAGAAGAGACTTCTATCTTCAAATTCCACACATTTTTAACGTGAAATAAACATAGTACTGAATAGCAGCACTTGAAAAATGCCGAATTCGAATTTGCACAAAGTAGCCCCCGCCGCACAAAGTAGCCCCGAATGACGGTACTGTCTTTATAGCTACAAATAAACTAGATGAGAAATGATCAAATGAAGGAACGATAAAGCAAAAAACTGCTTCTTGATCCCACTCTAACCTTTACTGTTACCAGTGTTAGTGTAAAAACCTTCATGGGTGTTATTTTTAATATTCTCTGTAGATATCAGAATGAACCATAGGTGGGAGAATAACTTCCCATTAACATTTAAAATATAAATATACTTACCAAGGAAAGGGGAAAAAATGTATTTACCCTTAGGTGGACATACTCGTCAGTTTAGAATTAAAACATTATTTAACACTAAACATACCAATACTTAATCTATATCTATTTCTACCATAGCCAGTCAAATGACCGGACCTTATTTCTTGATTGAATGTATGAAATATGGATGCTAGAAAGGAAATAAACTATTATAATTAAACAAAATTGCATATTGCCAATTTTTATGTAACACCAAGAATAAGAATTTTTGCTCAACGCATTTTTTACATGAACAGGGCTTTTCCATTGTACATTTTCAGCAAACATATTTCTTCTAATTATTATTATGATTAATATTATTTCTTCTAAGAACGTGTGCTGTCTTGATTGTTTCGACACTTTTCTGGGTAAAAACTAACGGTTAGTTAGAAATGAAGTAAAGTTGTCAACATAAAATATAAGCTACTTACCAAAACATTTAGTTTTTGTCACTTTTTCTGATACAAAAATGCCAATCTAAAATTTTAGATACTTTTTTTTAAATTTCAATTCACAGTTATTCTGATTGAACTAACTATACAACAGTCTATGCAGAAATGTGCAACTCATCGAATGCAATACCTTGAACATGCATTACAATATACTTTCTGATTCAATAACCTCATAAAGCAATAAATTGTTCTCCCGGTCAAATGACCGGCTGTGGCAGAAATAGGTATACGACAAGTATTATTCGAAAAGAAAAAAATATTTAAAACAAAATAATAATAGAATATTAACTGTATATGATTGTTAGAAAAGGTCATGAAGTCAAATGTACAAAAACGATAAGATAAGCGCATTTGAAAAAAAAATTCAGTAGATTTTGCAACTCAATAAGAAGAAATAAATGCAAAACAATTCTAATCATTGTAGAGACTTAAAACAATTCAAATAGGGAACGGTTTTTATCTCTATTAAGATTTTTCTTTATTTTTAAAAACTTCAATATAAATTTTAAGATTTATAAATCTCAATATGTAATCTTTATCTCTCTCTCTCCTTTTCTACTTTTAATTAAAATCTACTCGAGCGCGAGCTCATAAAATAAAGATCTCGTGAGAGAAAGATACATTTTTTACAACAATGAATAATATTTAGAGCAAAAAAATCTCAAAAAGAGCCCAAAAATACACATTTGCAATAACTTTAGATATGCAATAACTTTTTGTTTCCCGTTAAAATTAAAATGCAGAATGATCAAATTCAAACTCCGTTGTTGTAATTCAGAGGGCAGTAAATCTACTTAGATGTTTTTTTTATTTACCAAAACAGTTTAATACTGGAGAACAATTTTTTGTTGTTGCTGTTTTCTGTTGCTGGAGATTATTTTAAGGGATCTTGGAGTTTTTAACGTGTCACTGATTTCAAATATGCAATCGGTTTCTCCATCCATGCAAATTTAATTATTTTTCGAAATGACATTTTTAACCTTTTTTTTTTTGGAGAAATATGCAAGTTTGAAAACGTTATTTGTAACAGAGGCTCACATAAATGCTGCAACAAACTTCTAAAGGAGTTAAGGCACATCATCAGGAATAAAATTGCGCAGAAACCAGTATCCCGAAATATCGTCATAGACCCATAGGAGTGCTTCCCCTATGCATAGTAGAGGGATATATTTTTAACCCGCGTTCATATGGAAGTTTTCAACCGCACTTGATCCCTCTGTTACCTTGGAAAACTGGATTTACACAAGGTAATAATATGTTACACTGCATAATTCAAAGTTAATAATTAATAAGACGTCGATAATTTTTATAGAAATTATTAACATTTGATGAATGATGTTAATTATTTAATTGGATATTGTTTTGTTGGTTTGCCACGGACCGGATTTGCACATTAAAAAAAATGAAATACACATAAAAAACTAAAAAACACATAAAAAAAATAAATATAGATAACTCAAAGAAAGATTTTTATGTAAATATATACTTTTAATACACAATTAACACAATGATTTTGCATAGAATGATTTTTTGTAAAATATTATATATGTATACTATCTGGCCAAAATTATCCGTACACTTAGAGTTATGAACTTAGAGCGTTGTGAGGCACTTATTAATATGATGTTGTTCCCCTTTTGCATCGATGACAGCCTGATGCACACGTCTGGGAAGACTACACACCAGTTTTTGAATAGGACTTCCATGAAGGAAGTGATTGCAGTGAGGGTTTGGCTGATGGCCACCTAATCTGTGCTCTAATTCGTCCCCAAAGGTGTTCTACGGGACTTAAATCGGGGCATTGGGAAGTTTTTGAACACCCATTTCGTCAAACCACGTCTACCAGGCCGGGATAGCCTGGTTGGTAGGGCACTGGGCCCATGTCCAAGAGGTCGTGGGTTCGATCCCAGCCGGCCGAAGACTCCCCGTGTAGTAAATGGTGACTAATGCACGGTAAATCTGTCGATTCGCAAAGACCTCCATGTTCCCTTCACAAATCAATACCTCTGGGGGTACTGATCCAGGAGTTTCCTTGTATTTTCGCTTGGATCAAAATGACAATGGATGACAATGAATTAGTAGTCGTAAACCCAAAATTGGGTCGGCTGATCAACGACGGATAAGAAAAAATTATTATTAAAAAAAAAAGAGCCACGTTTGTGCAAGCCTCGATATGTGAATGGAGCAGTTATCCTGCAGAAAAAGAAATGGACCTTCCCCAAAATATTGTAAATGAATCGGGAGTGCAGCATTGTCCAGATTCATCTCACCACAGGAAATAACGGATCCAACCACTAGAAACACCCCCACACCAATAAGCTTCCCCAACCATAACAACCGGACACTTTTGGCCAGATAGTGTATATGAGATGCTTACTTGCGGTCCGAGCTCGCCTTTTTCTCCTTTGGGTCCCTGAAATTGCAAAATAGAAAATAAAATACTTTAGATCAATGTCGTTTCAAGAGACAAGAATGAAAAATAACTATACTGGCTCTACTTCAAGATAGAGAGAGAGAGAGATGCCATGCATTTGCATAAAGATAGAGAGATAAGAAAGAATCATGCTTGTTTTCATGCACAGATTTTATAGTTCACCATCCTTTGATATAGTTACCGGCAATCCAGGAATTCCATCCGTACCCTGCAACAAACATTACACTGTTTTAAATATATTTCAGGGAAAATCTCTCCACTACTGAGCGTTCAAATAATTATCTTTTTTACGTAAAAAGTAACATTTTTTTAAAACACAGTTCTCAAGCTATTTATGGTGACAAGGTTGCTTNTTTTTTAAATGAATCAAATCTGACGTTTGCCAGTTCCACAATCAAGCTAATGAGGTTTCTGCACAAAAATCTGAAATGGGTTTTCCATTTAGGTAGATGTTTATAATTCCTTTTAACGCTTCTTGTTTAAGACCAGTACGTAATGTGTTTTTTCTTTCTTTTTGTTCATTGCTGAAAAGTCCCTTTCAACCGCTACAGTACGGGAGACAGAGAAAACATCAATTCTACCATGTATGTTGCTGTATTTCTAGATTAGAGGGTCATTTTAGAAGTGAGTCGCTAGACTCTTGTAAGGTAACAAAAATTGAAAATGTATCACCAACATTAACGAGAAAAGGGCCGTCAGCGCGGACGTCAGATTCGAGAAATTTGTTGTCCACGGGGAATTTTTGACCGCCGAGGACGGGCGGACGTGTGGTTTTTCGAGCCCTGGTTTACGGTGATGATATTTTTGAAAAATGATTCAGCATAGAATGGTGCATTGAGTAAAAAATAGCAAAACTTGAGAACAATCATAGGATGATGTGATAAATGTTAGACTTACAGCATCAAAACGGCTCTCAGACTTTCCAACTTTTATATGTGTGCTCATCACGTTTGCTTTTACATTACTTTACTACCAGCACAATAAGGATTTTTACCACAAAAAGAATCAGGCACAAGTGTTACATATTTCTTTTTTTAAGGTTTTACCATTTTTATTGGTATTTTTTTATGTTCATCTGATAAGATGATATTCATCATTTTATGGTTCCACTATAGACTGATCGCTACGACCCACGGTTCCCAATAGATCGCCGAAGTTAAGCATCACTGGCATCGGTGAGTGAGTGGGTAGTTCACCTGCGAAGAGACCGAAAGTGAGAAGAGTATCGGTGCTCGTAAAGTGTTCCACTTTGCACGTAGGTCATCGTATTATCAAAATGGGAGAACCATCCCAGCTGCAGAGGATCAAAAGTGTGAGGACATGACTTCAGACTGGCTCATGGGATAGAGCGTTCGCCTTCCAATGAGATGAACCGGGTTCAAATTCCAGCGATGGCTGGTCGATACGAATTCCGCATCCAGCTTGCACCGACCACAGTGCTGACGCAATATATCCTCAATGGTCATGGCGAAGAGTCTCCTTCCCGTCAGACTAACCGTGGGAGGATTTAGTGGTTTTTCTCCATGTAACGTATATGCGGGCTAGTTCCATTAAAAAAAAGTACTCCACGAAGGTAAGTTTCTCCTAATACTTGATCCAGGAGTCTTCTGGATTGGGTTCAAAATGACAAGGTTACAGAGTTAAATATTAGTAGTCGTAAACCCTCAATTGCGTCGGTTGTTCAACGACGGATATCTATACTACTGATCCTTTTGGAGCTGAATGGAACATAATAAAAATCCTTACCGATAATCCTGGTTCCCCTTTCTCTCCTTTTTTTCCAGAGTCACCCCTTTCACCCTGCAACATTAAGAAAAAAAGGATTAATACTAACACTACTTTCATTTACTACTACATTTTGTTTTACTTCTATGTACTTTTCAATTAAAAACCGAATTCTATAACTTGGGATAATGCCCTGAACTCACTTATTTATATCCGTTGTGTTACACAGTGTGCAAAGAAAGGAACACCGTGAATCATATTTGATGTAATGAGCGGATTTTTTACGCATTCATTCTTAATGGTTTGATCTGATCTTTAAACAAAATACAAATTTTTCACATCATTTTAAAGAATGTAATTTTAGTTGACAGAATAAAAAAGTTGAGTGCAATCGACCGAATAGTTCTTGAGAAATCAAATTTTAAATTTATGACTTTTTACTTAGCATACATAAAGTGAGCCCCTTGAACCACTAACATTGGATCTCAGTACGTAAAAATAGGATCATTAGATCAGCGATTCCAAATGGGAGCCCTTGGCCATCAATCATTAAAAAAAAGCCTCAAATTCATTTTCGTAATCGTCCTTTGAAGATCTTCTAGCGAATTTTCTTTATAGAATGAATACACTCAAAATCACTAAGATACAATTTTAACCGAGGAAACAAAGAAGAACAATATGTTAAGAAAACACGGAGAAAATTCCATTTTCTCCACATTTCAGGTCGCTTTCAACGAATAGTTTCACTCAAACTCCATTAAAAAAAAAACAATATTTATTGACTGTCGGTAATCCAGGTCGACATGCAAAGTCATCCAAGAATACAGTCAACGATACCTTGATTTTCAAGCGATTTTGACTTTCCGGTCTTTCAAGCTCCTGTCAACAGTTGAGGGCTGAGTTATTTCTGAGTCAAAAGAAGCACAGATTCAAGTTTTATCACTGATATCAAAAATAAACTGTCTTGCGCGAACCTCTTGATTGTCAAACCACTTAAACACGTTAATTCTTGGAACAACTCAAAAGTTCTCGGGACAACTTAAGATGAGGAACCTTAAATACTCTTTCAAAATTGCTTGGCAGGAACTAAAGGATACCGGATCAATAATGTTTCTAATAGATATCCTCTAGTTTGATTATGAATAGCAGTGAACCATCTGCCATATTCCTGACCACTTTCGACGGATTTTTGTACCATTTTGGTAACGTAATTTTTTTTTCTTAAACGATTTTTAAATGCTTTTTGCAGCATTTCAAATGCTGCAGAAATTTCATTAAAAAAATAATGCACGTTTTTAGTTCATTTGTAGAAAATACGCAAAAGGAAAAATCTTTTCCGTTAAAAAGTGATATACTTTTAGTAGATAACTACTTTCCTAATATTTATTGAAAATGTAAAATATTTATAATAAATAAATGAAGCATTCAGTTTTAATCACAGACAATTATTAAGGCGAAGGGAACGTTTTACTAAAACCCTTTTGAATGCTGGAAATGATGCTAAAAATGAAGGGCAGTGATTGTAAAACTGCATAGGGTTATGAATAGCTCTTGTATAAAAAAGGGTAAAAAGGGTAAATTTAAAATTTATATTTAAATTGTAAAGGATAGCCAAGAGAAGAAAATTTGCTCTTAGTTAAACAAGGTTTATGACACGGATGCTACCTCTTTTTGCACATTATAAATTTTACCTTCTGTATTCTTTCCGCACAATCGAAAAGAGAGATTAACAGATCGATATTATATAGTATGATACTCTGTTGAATATATTACAAACACTGCTTACTAAATATTACGGGCAACTTGGTACAAAAATTAAATCTATACTTAAACCTGCACACTATCATACACTTTCTTGACAAAAGTATCCGGACACCTGATTGTTATGGTGGAAGCATAATTGTGTGGGGGTGTTTCTCGTGTTTTGTCCTGCGTCCGTTAGTTCCTGTGATTGGACATTCTTTTCTCTTCCAGCAGGATAACTGCTCCATTCACGCATCGAGTCTAGTACAGACGTGGTTTGACGAAATGGGTGCTCAAAATCTTTTCAGAGCCCCAATCTACACTCTCTGGCCTAATTATCAGAAGCACTTTAAGATTCTATGAAAAATTATAATTATCATGTGATACTATACAGCTTTACTGTTTTTACGCAACTGAAACCGGTTTGCATTTTTTAACACTCGTGTATCAATGGGTTAACATTGCAATGCAATACGTTAAAAATAAATAAAAACTGTATAAAAAAATCTCCTGAATAAAACTCATTACATGTATGTTTGAACATAAAAGTATTGCACGCAAACTCGAGCAAATCATGTTATTATTAAAACACCACAGTGCGTCCAATAATTTGATCTAATTATTATAATATACTAATATAATGCACGGTATAATAACTATTCTATATTCATATAATATATCGTCCAATTTATCGAATCGTCGAATTTATATCATATATCGTCTCATTTAAGCAATTGATACACGAACGTAAACCAGTGCAAACCGGTTTCAGTGGCGTAAAAACAATAAAGCTGCATAGTATTACCAGATAATTGAGATTTTGCACAGAATCTTATTGTGGGTTTAATAATTTGGCTAGGGAATGTAAGTCCCATAGAACACCTTTGGGACGAATTAGAGCGCAGATTACGTAACCAGCCAACTCGACCCTCCTCACTGCAAACACTCACTTCAGCTGTGATGGAAGTCAATTCCTATATTACAAAAACTGGTGGAAAGTCTTCCCAGAAGGCTGTCATCGATACAAAACCAACATCATGTTAATAGGCGCGTCAGAACGCTCCAACACTGGGTGTCTGGATACTTTTGGCCGGATAGTTTATTACAAACATCAATAAATCTCATGGGGGAACATGGTAAAAGAAAAATAATCCATACTTAATCCTACACACTATCATAGACATAATAAAATAGATATATATTTTAAAAAAAAGTTTCCCTTACCTTCATCCCGTCCAGTCCGGGTTGGCCCTGCATTTAATACAAACAGTCAAAAATAGATGACACTGAAATTATTTACACTGTAACACCAACAATTTGAAGAGCAAATAAGCAGACATGCAACATATTAACAAGCTCCCACCACCGCTTCTAAGCACAAAGAATAAGGAAGAAGTTAGTGTAATGCACAATAATGAGCCACTCATGTAGACTTTTAAGGAGTTAAATTATTATCTCCATTGAGATCATTAAAGCACTTTTGAGATAATTCAACTTGTAAGGAAACTTATAGAGATTATAATCCCATTAAAACTTATCGCTGAAAAATCTTTTTCTTTTCTGGGAACGAAATATTTTTTTAGACGTTTAAAAATCATCCTATCCTATAAATATCCTAATCCTATCCTTGTTTATATCCTAAAGTAGCAACAAAGTGCTTTCAATTTAGGAAATAATTTAGATTATGGCCGCTTTTAGTGTTATTTCTTATTTATTCTTTTAAATTTGCAAAATATAATATCATATTGGGTCACGTTTTTTTCCACAACATTCACTTCATAAAACCATTATATTTAATAAAAATATATAAATGAAATATCCAATAATTCTTTGCAGCTTAAAATGAATGAATTAAGATCATACTTGAAAAAGTGTGTTTATCTCTAAATTTGTATGCCAGCAATATTATTCCAATATTTATCTGTGTATATTAATGCAACATTTCCACAATAATTTATCAGGTTTTCAGTATCTATATTTATACTGAATCCATATGCGCTAGTGATTGAGTGATCTCAAAAGTTTACATAATACAATTTTTTTTTAAAAAATGCATTGAAAGGCATGAATGAAGTGTGCAAAACACATACTATAAGTCCTGATTTACCATCAATTCCGTCTTTACCAGGAATGCCATTCAGACCCTGCAAAAGCATTTATAGAAATTAATAAACCCGAAAAAAAAGGCAAGGTCATTCATGGAAAGGAAGAGAATACTGATTTTATCTTACCCTTTCCAAAAGAAGGATTTAAAAAATGTACTTAACACCCACGCAAAATTCCCCTCATAAGAAATTCTTTTTTTTTTCATTACTGATAATTTCCATTTTAGATGAATTTTATAATGTCGTTAGGTAACATTGATATTATCAGTAACGCATTTTACCAGGATAAAAATCTCAAATTTAAACCATTTATGAGATCAACAGCCAAACTAAAAAGTTTCATTTCGATATTTGAAATTTAACTGGGTCATCGGGCTCATTGACTTTGAGCCTTTCATTTTGCTTTGAATGTGTTATTTCGTATTCGCGTAATTATATCTAATTACCCCGATAATTAACGGACTGTCCACAATCGGAGCCTTGGTGAAACGTGTTTTTAGGAACACTGTCAATTAGGCTAATTACCCAGAGATAATTCATAATATATCACCGAAATGAAACTTTTGCAGTTTTTCTATCGATCTCAGAATTTCAGCTTTTGTAACTTTTAAGGGAATCAGTGAATGAGGGCTTTTATATATTGATTTGATTTTATTTAATATAGAGGAAAACGTGAAAATAGAACACCCTGCATAACTGTTTATCAAACGATCAAATTGCCACGTACCCAATCTTAAATATGCTTAGTGCAGACGATATTTTATGATACGAAACGAGATATAAAAAATATAAATATACTTGAATAAACCAAAATAAAAAATATACTTGAATAAATCAGATTATACTGATGTGTCCAAATACAATCCTATTTAAAATATTGCAATATAAAAGCGAATGATCTAGTTATTCTTTAAAACTGGCATACCAAATAAATCGAATACTTGAAGATACTTCTTAGTAGATGCAGGTTCTAATATTTTGGAGATTTAATTTAACTACAGAAAATTCATTTATTTTACAGATCGCTCTTGATGACAAATGGGTTATTCTTAGAAAATAAAAAAGTATCTAAAATCTGTAAAAGCATAAAAGGAAAAAAAAAATTGGTAGATTATAGATTTTGATGAATTTAGCGATAAAGAATGCAGCTTATAACTATTATTAATAGAGTTAATATTTAAAAAAATATTTATAAAAAAAAATTTGATCGCTGAAAGTTGATCTCAGTTTACCTATTGGCAAAATGGTTGTTGTCTAATTTTTTTTTACCCTCTTTATTTGTGATATTCACCTGAATTAGTATTGAAAATGATCCAGTTTGTTAGAATTTCTGAATCTTAATTAAAACAATAAAAACAGAAATATCGTTTAAATGATGAAATTCTCTTTCATTCACAACTCAAGAAGTATTTATGGGAGGTCCCATATCTAAAAAATAAACTCACCAACTTAATGCATATCATAATTAAAAGTGAAAAAAAGAATTCTAAAAAAATTATCAAACAGCAGCGGTCGCCATAGCAACGCATGCAATGACGACGCATGCGCACTGTTTTCTATTATTCTTGAACATAGTTGAAAAGTATGATGACGTCCAAATTAGGTAAGCACGCCATCAAACCAAAAACAAGACCCATATTGAACCTGTATGATGTGTAAATAATTGTCGATGCAAAATTGTACTTTTTATGCATAAAATATTATTATTTCTCTTTTTTTAAATAAAATCGGACTATATTCACCAATATATTGTAAAAACAATAAACGAATGAAGGGAAGGAACAATTTAACTTACTATGGACGAAATAACTCTCAATTGTAATCTTCGGTTCCATTCGTTTCACACCCAGAAAGAAAAAAGGTTAGTTTGGCAAGCTATTATTGTCAGTTATAAGATAGAAGAAATATATAATTAACACTGAAATTATTACAATATATTGGGAGCAGTGGCGAGAGCTTGTTTCTTTTAGTCAGAAAGAACGGCACACACACACAAAATTATCTAAATAACATCAAACATTAAGCAACGCATATCATGCACATGCTATTTTTAAGCCTTAGAAATTAAAAACATAATTTAGATTTATGCTTTCAACAGATAGTTATCATTCATACCTTTCACAATTATATGTTAATTTCTTAAGATAAATTAAGAGCAAGAAAAGAACAGAATTTATCATGCAACATACACTAAGTTTCATTACGATTAGTTTGAAAAAAGTATGAAAGTTCAAAGTAAAGAAGGCCTAGAATAGTCACGACTTAAAATTCGTATTTTTAGAATTTTTGTTTAAAAAACAACAAAATACATTTGGGACTAATATGGCAAAGGACTAATTATTGGGACTAATGGGCAAAGGAAACTGAAAAGCATCATTAAAAACATGTTAATCAAATCCTGTTAAAACGTCAAAACCTGTTTCATGGAAGACGAGAAAGGAATCTTCATCCTGCCATCAAACTGGTTTCAGTGCTTCTTTAGTAGTGGTTCCTCATTTCTCTTAGCTTAAAAATTATTTAGCTTCGGTAAAGATCCTGTATTTCACATTAACGGTATGGAATCCTCATCACAAATTTTCTTCTTCATAAGAAACCTCGCTACTGTCTACTATTAATATGTTCTGAGCTACACTTTTATGATACGTAATTATTTAAAGTTGATTTTCGTTTTCAGGGAGGGGCATTATTTGACAGGTTTTTATTGTTTTTAATTTTGCAGTAATATTGTTCATTTGGTGATGGCTTGTGCAAATTAACAATGTTTCTACTTCCTCTTAAATGGCACTAGAATAATGACACTTCCACTTAAATGGCACTACGTGTAAAAACTACTTAGGTCATCAAAACGGAGATTTAATTTGGTTTTGAAATGTTTGAAAAGTTCTGATTTCTTATTAAATTTTCGTTCTTATCAATGAGGAGTTATTTTCCCCAGTTATCCCTTTTTCCAGAAACCTTCATTTTTTAAAAAAAATCATTTTGGGATTTTTTTGGGAGGTGGGCAAGGCTGGAGCGTGATGTAGGAATCTGAGATTCGCTTGTGGAACGATTACGGCGATGAATTAATATCCGCATACCAAAATGAGGAGGGGGCGTTGGGTTAAGTAAAATGATTATAAACAAAGAGATTTTTGATTGCGGTGGCTCAGGGGATAGAGTGTTCGCTTTTCAATGCGGTGAAACGAGCTCGAATCCCAGCGATCGCTGGTAGATACGAATTCCGCACCCGGCTCGCATAGACCGCAGTACTGATGTAAAATATCCTCATGGGGTAGAGTCCCCTTGACCTCAGTCTAACCGTGGGAAATTCTCTCCATTTATAGCAAATGTGGGTTAGTTTAATCAAAAAGTCCTCCGAGAAGACAACATTTCGCTCAATTCTTGATCCAGATTGTCGTAAACCCGAAATTAGGACGGTTGCTCAACGACGGCTATAAAATATAAAAATAAAACAAAGAGAAATAGCGATTAAAAACAATAATTCCATTGGCCTCCAAATTCAGGTACAACCTCCCAGAAATTACACTAGCCTCCAAAAATTAAGGTACAACCAGTTTTTGGTGTCCAGTTTGAAAAAGAATGAACAAAGAATCAAGAAATTCACGGGGAGTGCGTACTTAACTGTTTTTTTCTAGATTGCCACACAGAAGTAAACTTAGAAGAAGAAGAAAAAGACTCATTTCATAAAATATAGTTAGATGCAAAACATCGTGGTTAAAACATTCCAAAAATATAAAGGATTGCATCCATTAAATTATCGGGGGTGAAATTGGAAGTAAAGACTGGAGGAACCCTTTTTTCCAGCTCATGTAATAACTGAAGATGAGGACTTGTAGCAATGGCTTGCCTTCTAAGGTAGTAACAAACATTCGTTATGAGATTCAAATCTGACTAGAAAATCTTTCAGGTGAATATTTTCACATTCCAAAAAATTCTTAACATGTTGAGGTTCTATGTGCCCTCGCTCAGAAAATGAAATCAGTGGATCCTTAAATAAAATCCCTAAAAAAATTAAAACGAAGAATTCGTAAACATATCTCTGTACTCAAACCAGCAATGCCTTTTTTAAAGATAATGTGTCATGTGAGCATTTATGAAGACCATCAAACTTACGCATCTATAATTATATATTTCTCGGACAATGAAGGGTAAAGATCTCTTCAAATAAAAATGTCAGAGCCACTGTGGCTCAGAGGAGCGCTCACCTACCAATGAGGTGATCCAGATTTGAATACCAACTATAGCTGGTAGATAAAAGTTCTGTTCCCGGCTCGCATCGACCACAATACTGACGCAAAATATACTCGGTAGTAGACGGATAAAGGGTTAAAATTTACTTGGCGTTAAGCGAGCCATGAGAGTTCCTCCTCATGTAACAAAAATGAAAAGTTTCCTTGAAAATGTTCCTTCGCGAAGTCTTGTTTGTTCTCCATCCAAAAGTTTCCTTGCCTTTTGGGTCATTTCACAAAGCTACAAAGTTGAACTTTATTATAGAATAAAATAAATGTATCAACAAAGCTATCAAGCTACCCATGTCAATCAATGATATCAGCCATAATCGAAGCAAAAGTTTGATGGTTTGAGAAGACATTATATTGCACGGCCGTAAGACCCCCAAGTCTTTTCAAGAGGCACTTAGCTATTAGGGATAAATCTGGTGTTTTTAATGGACCACAGTCACATTTTCTGAAAGATATTAACCATAAATGACTATCTTGGTCAATGGTCATTACATAATCCTTCCTTGTTCCAACAAGAATGACTTTACATCTGGTTCCCCTGTACACATGTTTGTTCTACTTAAAAATTTTCCTTGTTTTGGTGCAAATCATAGTTACTTAAATTTCTACGTGGCGATTTTAATTTATTTTATAACTGGCGTTAAACAGCTGACCCAGTTCTGAGTTTGCGACTTTCAATGCTGAACTCCTTAGCCTTGTAATTTTGAATCCAACCCAGAAGACAAGGGAACTTCTGGATTAAGCATTGGGTCAGACTAGCCTTCGCGGAGGACTTTCGATAAAACCAACCTGCATTTC